CAGAGCTTAAATATAGCATTCAATAGTGTGTATATACTATTATACATTTCATTATCGCGGAGCCCTGGATTGAGTATTCAAATAAAGCAAATCGACCAGCTTGTTGATGATCAAGAAAATACATAATTTTTGCGGTTGGAGACGTCTCTTTGTGCCTGCTCTATAGATTTCCATAAAGCCATTATACCCCCAATTGCTAGAGGTCCATTTACCCAGGGCATATAAAAAGAATTGTTGCTATTGGACTGAAGAATTCAGGCTAAGAGACGGCTTCATTAGCCACATCCAATTATTGGGCGCCTAGTCACAATCTGATTAAAATGCGCGACTTGTGCTCTTCGTATTATTTTTAATCAATTAAGTTTTGTCAGTTGCTAACAAACAGAAACAGAAACAGAAACCAAAACTTAAATGATGAGCCGCACACGTGACATGTTTTCCTAATGTCCAAATGCTCCACTCCTGCTCCCACATACTCACATACACGCACACACACACACACACACATAGGAGGACAGGCACAATGGGCGTCGTTATCTTTGGCCATTTGGTCGCCTTTATATTTACTTATATGCAGTTAATAATTATGTCACTGGCTCGTCTCGTGTGGTACGCCTCACGCCTCTTGTTATGCGAATGCCCCTATTATATGCTCTGCTGCTTCTAATGATGTGCCCGTTGCTGTCATCTCTGCCTTAGTCTTCTCTATAGACAAAGGCGACAACTTCTCCTCCAACTCAAATGCCTCTAAAGATTCGCAAACAAAAGCGCATCGGCACACACGCTCCCTTTGGCTGTTCTGTCTGATTCAGTGTGTGTGTGTGTGTGTGTGTGTGTGTGTGTGTGTGTGTGTGTGTGTGTGTGTGTGTGTGTATGCTTGTATGTGTGCGAGTTCGTATGTGTGCAAGTGTATGTGACAGCTGTTGTTGTTTCTTGTCTGGGAAGCGGACGGATGTGCGAGCATTGTGTTGGCACATCCGGTTACATTATGAAACTAACACACATAAACAACAACACATACACACACGCACACACCCAGTCACACTCACTCACATACACTCACTGGCATCCTCAGGCCTGTTGTGCTGTAAACTTAAATGGTGCGCCCTTCTTTTTTCTGTGCTGTCCAGGCTCCCAGGCTCCCAGGCCCCAGATGGCGTTTATGTTGTGTGCTCTGCATTAAATATGCTCGTTTACTCGCACACACACACACACACATGCCTCTTTCTGGGCACTGTTCTTAAGTGTAACTACAGCCAGGGCTACACGTTGTGGCCATAACTCATGGCCCGCTGGTATATGGGCATTAGGATGCTTTTACCAGGCTAGTTATAGATATCACTAGTCAACACAACCAAAGTTTATGCAACACATTATGTCTATGTGGGCCACTTCAACTATCTTCACTATACAACAATTTGTAAAATTGCTGAAAATTGCAAAAGGAATTAATTTATAAAATAAATGTTTGAATCCTTTTATAAACAGGAATAATTTTGATAGTATTTCAAGCAAGCCAGCTGCTCTCTTATTATCATATCTCTTATTAAGTTCAAACATTTTGAAGATATCGCAACATCTAAGGATTGCAAACATTCAGATCCGGAAGTTCTAATAACAAAAATATGAGGCATTGCAATATCAACCAATTTGTGCATTTCTCTTTCTCAGACCCAAGGTTGTTGTTGTCTAGTGTAATTTAATAGTACGGCATGTGGATGAGTGTGTATTTGTTTCTGGGAGGGCGGCAGACATTAAAGCCATCAGTCTGAAGCAGTTGGCTCAAGCGAGCTATCGGCAAGTGAGCCAAAGACATTTCACGTTTCAGCCATTTTACCGTCCTCCACACGAGCCGCGCTCACTGCCAGGCCAGGAATAACCAAATTTTGATGGCCCTCGCTGGGCACTTGGGTAAGCAGATAATTACATAAAAATGAATAATAATCTTGTACGATGCGGCGCCGTCTTTGGGGTATTGACAACAGCTTATTGACAAAATGTGTTAATGATTCTGCAAATTGAATTCTCAGCGGATGGCTCAGCAAGGAATGGCTTGGCTGTGTGTGTGCGTGTTTGTGTGTGTGTGCAGCAGGAAGTGGACGATGGCAATCACCTGCATCATCAGGATGCCGGAAGTAGTCAGAAACTGCTGCTCAAGATGAAACTGTAATCTCGGTGTGTGTACGTGTGCGTGTGTTTTTGTATGTGTGCCCGCCTGTGTGTGTCGGAAGTTGCGTTTGATAGCGCACGGAAGTGGCTGGCAACACGGACCTCAACAGCGGGCCAACTACTAAATAGTATTTTGTAGTGCTCAGACGGGGTGGGGTAATTGACCGCTAAGCCAATGGACAATGAGTCGCGGCAAAGCAAGGAAGCTAAAAGAGCGAAAACGAGAAGGAGAGAGCGAGAGCGAGAGAAAGAGAAAATAAGGCTACGTTATTAGTTGGCAGGCACTAAGACAAATAGCGCATATAAATAAGCCACTCGCTGACATGGCACCCAAACCCAAAACCCAGTCCCAAGCAGGCGATGCAGCACGGCTGAATCTAGACAGATAACAGATGGGGACATGGCCAAGAAGCGTCTCCGCTCTCCCCGCCACAAGCTGCTTGTAAAGTAAATAGAAATGTAATAATGAGATAAGAACAATAAGCGCTACGTCTGCCCTGAGGATGAACCAAGAGCAGCTGCAGCTGTAGCTGCTTTGGCCAATGTCCAGTGTAAGGGCGGCAGGATGCTCGTATCTTATATTGATGTCTCGCTTGCTGGAGCGTGATTATGACCAGCCTAAACGTATTAGAGCCAAGTTGATTGGTTCACTCGACTTGCGGGCGATAAAGCACTAAAAATTGCGCTATTTGTTTTCCTCGACCGGGCATCGGAGCGCTGGCTGCTGACTGATGTATTGAACAGACATATGGATACGGCATAAGCTGGGCTAACATAACAGATGCTGCAATGCTCATTGTTGGACTAATCTGCGTCGACATTAGTATGAACAGATAAGAGCTAGAACAATTATTTCAGATTCCATAGAGTAGACTTGTTGAGAATAAGAGTCTACACTTCTAGCCCATAAATGTGCCCAATTGCTTTTTATAACTGAACGCTGGTGGTCTTAGATTAACGTACATTATTTGCTTTTGAAATTGTCAGATTATGTAAGTGCAATTATTTAGCTAACTGTTTAAGTGAATTAATCCTCAAATTTCTACTATATAATTCTTAGTTGTTTAGCCGCATTTAGCTGACCGCCTTTAAGAATGGCAATTGAAAATAATTTAAAAGGGCAGTGAAAAACATCTGCATCTTCAATCTCTTCGATTGTCAATATTTGTATTTGTTTTTCCGAATAGGGAAAAACGAAGCTAGAAAAGCCAGACAATTATTGTCTACTTGTTTTGATGGCCTTTGGGTGTTTTCTGTTCTCTTGGCACATACCATAAGGTAATCAGGCTTATTACAATTTAGCAAGCGTAGCTAATGCTGCTCTGAAGTCTAGCCTGATGTTGGTCCTGAGCCGTCAGCACCGGATGCTTGTCGAGTCCGGCTCCATAGCAGCCGGGGGTAGACTAGGTTACACACAGGCAGCCTGTGGGAACAGCTAAACTCTATGCCTGGAGCGCGCACTGTCTGCTGCAGCCTGTGCCTTATTTTCAAGTGATGTATCTGCCGCGTACATTTTATGCAGCCGCAGCCCTGGAGGGGTTGGTGGATTTGCACTTTAAGCTTTACAATCATCGATGCGGTGACTCTCGATCTTTGCTGCGCCAGCTGCCACGCGCAACGCACATCCGCAGTTGGATGATGCCATTCGCCGTTTTCGCTGTCTGTCTGCGGCACGAACCGGCGGCAGGAGGTAACATAGTCAACAACGTCGTCGTTTCTAATGCGGCATTGCGAATGCAACAGACAGCATCACTAACACACACCGCACACACACAGCGCACACACAGAGCACGGCAAGCGACGTCATTATAAATTGAAAGATATTTCCAGCGCCAGCGTCCAGCCCAAAAGCAAAGGATGTTAAGGGAAGCAGCCGCCGCATTCCTGTCTGTGCCCAGCAAAAGATGCCTTTTACCTAACTGCATCCGGCGTAGAGTCTACCGTCTGCCGACTGCCGACGGCAGCTGCTGCTTTCGTCGTGGACTCTGTAACATGTGTCGCTTCAAGGAAATTGAATTTTTATTAAAGGAAAACATTTTTATTGTGGATTATTTTCGTTTCTTTTTTTTTATGCAGCGTGGGCGCTGTTTGGAGGGGCTGTGGCTGCTGCTGATTGAAATTTCTATATCCGCTAGCTGACTGCAATTGAATTACAACAAAATCAAGAACAGAAAACTTTCTTAGCGCAACTTTGACAGTCAGCCTGGATAGCTGAATGCGCCTAATTAAATTTATGTAAAAGCACTACTTCAATAAAATAAAATAAAAAAAAAAATGCCAGCTGAAATTTTTGTAGTTGTAAGCCTGCCACGTTCGCTCTTCGATTTTCCACATGCGCGCTCGATTTTCCTTTCGCAGTTCTCTTCACCATTTTCTCGCTCGATTTTTATCTGTTAACATGGCTTTCAATTGAAAATGCGAGCTCAAGTCGTGCACAATTTGGTTTACAGCCACGCCCATGCACACGCTGTGCTACCCATGCAGTTGCCCCGGAATTACGTGGCTTTAAAATTATAGTTGGTTAGATCTGAAAGGATGTGGCTGCATAATATTGCAGTTTCAGTGCGAGCTGCTATCTGTTGACTGCTCGTAAAAAAGTCGCTAGGTTAAATGTTGAACCGTCGTCGTCGTCGTCGTCATCCTTCGAGCAACGACAATGCAACGCATTGAGTCATAAAATTTATAAAAGCATTTGCAATAAGCATTGCCAAAAGTATCCACAATTCTGCACTTAAAATGTTTGCACACAAGCAAATAAAAATAAAAAATCCTCCTTCCTTCTCAGGATGGGTTAACAGATATACTGGATAAAATTCCTGGCAAGTACTTACCATTTTATTGATTTTTTGTGCTCGCTTCGGTATGGTGCTTTGACTGGTCACTGCTGCGCTGGATATCTGCAACGAGGCAAAATGTTTTACCATTAAATTTGGTTTTATTTTGTTTTTCGGTATTTGCATGTAGGGGATATATTTCTGACAAAGCGAATTTGCTGCAGACCGTGTTTTAAGGTACTTTCTAAATTAGTGTAGAAATTGTTAAATTTGTTAAACCGAACTTCAATGAAGCAAAGTATGAGATATAAGATTTAAGGCGGAAGAACATATATATATATTATTATACTATTCCCGAATTCTACAGTTAACAATTAGCGAATCGCCATTTTTTAAAGTTAAATATCACACTTTCAGTCGCTATGTTTACAAAAGTTATCGTTAAGCAAAATAAACACTTCTTCATAAATTATTAATTTTAGTTTAAAAAGGGTTTAGCTATGTTTTAAGCGGTGTTGGGTTTCCCCGACGTATATATATAAGATCAATACGGATCTTAAAGGAAATACTGCCGGCTATCAAGAATACCTTAGCTATCGTCAATCACAATCATCTTGAGAACATAAATTATTGTATTCACAAACAATTAAAATTTGTTATTTAAAACTGGTTAAAGCCTCCAACATGTGACTCTAAATTGATTGCTGAAACTAAAAGCGTGAAACTAAGTGGGAGAAAAATGTGGCCAAAGATTTTATAAATAAATTTGGATTACTTTGTAAGCGCCTGCAGTTATCGAGGATTGCATAAACAATTTAAGTACGAGTTGCATTTTTACAGCTAAGGCTAAGCTAATTAAATTTATTTGATTTAAAGTGAAATCTTACTAACTAAATATTTCTACTTCTATAAATTTTTTTTATCGGTAGTATTTTATAACTATTTTAATAACGGTCAGGTGCCAGTTACAGGCCATGTCATTCGCGCATTAACACGAAGTGTTTGCTTAGTTTCATTAAAAATTTAAACATGCAAACTGCAAATTTGCAAGTCAAAATTGTAGGGCGTAACCTTTAAAGGGGGAAAAAAAATAATAAAAAATATACTAAAAGACTGCACGAAAACAAGTTAAACAATGCGAGTATCGGCTATGAAAAACAGGAAAGAAAAAAGCAATGGGAATTATGGACAGGCTGGAAACAAGAAAACAAAAGTGAAATACAAGAAAATGCTTGCGATACTTGTAGCTGTGAGGCCATGTCCCCAAGGATGGAAGGACAAAAGCAACTTTGCACTTTTGTTTGTCGTCACGTGCACTCAATAAACTTTAAACAAATTTGCATTTGCAGCTACAAAGCACACACACACACAGAAACATACATACACACAGAGTCTCAGTTGCAAGGACAAAAAAGGCTACACTGGCAACGCGTCAGGACGCATCGAGTTTCAGTTGCCGTCCAAAAGCGGAAACAAAGTTAAGCACACAACGTCCATTTCCTGTTTTTGTTTGTCGCACATCGCATCAGCTCGATTCAGCTCGATTTGCAACGGCTTTCTGCCACAGATTGCAACGGGTTTCGGGTTTCGGGTTTTTGCCTTCCTCTCATTGAGTTACGTTTTTTAGACGCCAGCAAAAAAGTGGCAAGAGCTAGCGGCTTAAACAAATCTCTAGTTTGTAGTCCTTAAGATCTTTAAGGGTAGCTGCCTTACATGATTTGATATTGCAATCAACTGGATAGCTGCAAATGAAATGCAAATCGAAGCAGCGGCCAATGTATTTTACTGCGTTATGAAGACGCTGCCAATCTTCACACTCTCCACTGAGTTGGCCAGACCGAGACGCTCTGTCCTGCCAATTCACTGCGCAGCAAATAAGTAGACAACAAAAATATGCACAGGTAACCGCAAAAATGTTGCCTGGTAGGTGGAGAAAGCCGCAGGCAGGAGGCAGGCTAAGGCCCCCAGACACAAAAACGCATCAACAACCGACACAGACAGCATCGGGAGCAGCAGCAATGTTGGGCGCATAATCAACAGAAGGCGTGGCATGTTGCAGCTGCAAACGAAAGCGAGAAAATGACTTTTCTACTTTTTCAGCAATTTTGTTGCTACTTGCAATTTATGCAAAAGTCAAATGTTGATTTGTGGGGCCGCAGGGCCGCAGCATCGAGCTCCAACGAGCAGCATGGAGTGGGAGACACAGGTTTTTACGGACCAGCTGCAGGACCAGCAATATATTGATTTAGTGGGGTCTATGTAACGGGCCAAGGTGCATTTACACTGCCTTTCAGTGCTCTATACCCTGTAGTCACAAAAATGGTACAGAGCATCATCGACAAGAGCAAAGTGAAAATCGAAACTATTTCAAACTCTACTAAAATGCTGACTACGGAGTATCTGCTGGCCGCAACAATATCTCTTCTTTGCCTGCTGCTATTTTAAGTTTGCTTCTATGTTTGCACTTTAGAATTGAAGTCGAAGAACGAGTAGTTTGCCATTTGCATAATAATTGGCCTCATGAATGAGAGTGTGTTAGAGTGTGTGTGTAGATGGGTGGTTTGTTGTTGCGGCTGCAGCAAAAGGGCAAACAATTTGTGCTATGGAATAGCTATTGATGTAAGTATGTATATTGATCAGCGGCATCATCAGAGGAGTGCCATTCAGCCCGCTGCCTGATTGCTTATCTAGTTGAAATGCATGCTCAACTCATTTTAAACATTGCATTTACTTTTTATCTATATATAATTAAAGCTGGGCATTTTAAAGTCCTGGCAAGTACTTCCACTGCTAGATTAGCTAACAGCCGGCTATTAATAATGTTCTGCTGATAAGACGATGACAAATCTGCTGAAGCTTGAAATTAGGAACAGTGTTATAACACAGCCCGCCCCAGCGTAGCCAGTTCACCATTGACACCATCCTGCTAGGGCAAACAACCCTTATAAGGCAAAGAATTAAATTGCCACTCTTTGGGAAAATGATGTATTTGCCCTACACCCACAATTCGAACGCTCGCAATTTGAATCCTTCGCTGGCAGCTGCAAAAGAGCCAAACTCAGACCCAGACCCGAAGTAGAACACGAACCCGGCTCAAGTTGATCGAAAAGTTACTTTTACCTTTGGCTGTTGCCTTTTGCATATACCAAGGGTTTCAATTTAATACCAAACACCGTCTACAGGCAGCTGAGCGCAGCAACGGAAACATGAGTATGGGCTTCTCTGAAAATGGAACTGGACACATTTGACTTTAGCGTTTTTCTCTTGAACCCTTTTAAAGTTCTGTATATTTGCATATATATAGAAAATTTTGGTTTTGTTAGGCAAAGGTTTGTGCACATTAGGTTGATAGCTTAGAAACGGTTGCAATTTTGATTAGATTAAAAAAGGTTTTTCGTTATCAAAATCAAAAAATGCTAAACGAATGAAAATATAATTATGAATATCATAAATTTATCAATAATTTATTTATTTTTTTTATCAAAAGATAAACTTTTTTTTTCTAAAACTAACATACTGCAATCGAATGCGATTAACTGAGAACATTAGTTGGCCGCTCCACTTGGGCAGAAAGGGGAAATAAAGAAAGGCCGCATTCAAAATTTAAAGAAATTAAATTACAAAAATTCAAAATAAGTAGCTGCATAATAATATATAGTTAATTTAGTTATACTATGTTTATATGATATGCTTATTTACATATGCATGCTGCCAATTGTTAGTACTTAGGGTATATCATATTCTGAAATACCCATCTACAATCGTCGCATTATATTTTGCCAGTAAGGTGATGTGGTTACACTCAGATACTACACTGTCCCACCCCGTTGACGGTGGTGTCGAAGCCTCGCTTCACAGCAGGAAATTGTCGGTTGTAGGCCATAAATTATGCCACACTTCGCTTTTATTATTGTCCCCTGCTAATGGCACGTGAAATCAACTATAATTTATACCTCTTTATAAGCAGTTAAACATGCTTATATTTATATACATACATATTATTTTTCAATGGTTTCGCAATTTATTTGCACCTGGCTAATAAATAACTGTAATTAATGTGCCAAAAAATGAGATACAATAAAAGTTGCCCCTAGCATAATACTATTTGGCTTTATCGCTTGAAACTTTAATTAAATTACATTTTTATTTATTATTTTGAGAACTTTGAACAAACATTTTATAATGTTTTGCTTGAAGCTAGTGAACTTTTAAAAGTAATTGCAATTAATATGAAATATGTGCACTTAGGTGAGTCTTACGATAAACATGATCATCAAAATTGAAATTATGTTTTTAATATAGCTTTATTCATAAGATTATTGTGACTTTTCTCATCTCATCTTCATCATTTATAAAAATAATATTTGTATCGACAATGCTCTATCAGAAATTGAAATCTGTTTATATGAATTCCTAACTCTTACATTTATATCTTATAATCTTTTAATGAAGCTCAACCAATCTAAAAGCAGATTTGCTAGCTTTGTTAAATTCGGCATAAAACTGTTTCGTTGCCTCATTTGCATGAAAATTCATTATGCACACGACGTGTTTTCAGTTAAATTTGCTGCTGATTCGGGCCCACATAACTTAAGCTGAATTTTATGCTCTGTTAATGGTGACTATTTGCAGCATTTGCCTGTGGCCATATTGTGTCATAGCAGAGATTTTCTCAAAAATGGTTAAATCAACGCAAAGCAAACGTAGCTCGAATGAATCCCGAAGATAAAACTATAGGAGATTTTGGTTTGAAAGCAATCGCCAGGAGGGCTTAAACAAAACATTTTCGGTAGACACTGAACCAAACTGAAAAGACACTTGAGCATGGGCATTGATTACACTAGAGTGAGAGTGCACAGTTCACAGTTCAGGGTTTACTTAGCAACCACGAGCGCCCAAATAGACAAGAGTATCTCTGAATCTGAATTTGCAGCTGTGACTGTATCTGTGAGTTGAGCTAAAGCGATTGCCGAGCAAAACTCATCGTTGCCAAAGCTCTGTGTGCATTGGCAATCAGTGTTAAATAAACGAGCAGATAGACAGGAGCAGACATCCAGGAGTTGGGCTGGGACAGTCGGTTTGTTGGGCCAGCTGGAGCCTGTTGGCCGAATTGACAGGCATAC